ATGGGCAGATCGTGTTGGAATTAAAACCAATATTACTGAGGTAGATCATTTCTAGCTATGTAAACGCATTCAATTGAACATCTGGTTATAAGAGTCCATAATGTGTGTTCGTTGTTTATTCTCTTAGAGCTGATCAGAAGCGACCTTTTCTTTCTTTTAGACGTTGTAAATATTTAGACTAACCTGGCCTCCTCCATCCTTTAGGACCAACCTGTTGTCCAGTGTCAACTACGCCTTTTGGCCTAATTTTAGACCTAGACTCATCCTCAACAACCCTGAATTAGGGAAAAAGTCTCAATTTCTAAACTATTTATCCCACTTGTGTTTTTAACTAAGAGAGTTTGTACAGGATTTTACCAAACAGAGCAAATTCACTTATGGACTTGTCATGGAAGAAATCATAACCCGTGATGAACATGGCCGGCTTTCTAGAAATGGCCAGAAGAAGATGTTAAATGGAAATGTCTGTGCTAATGGACCTCCAACTACGCTAAGTGGCACTGGCAAGGATCGCATGGCATTTTTACAAGCAAATCTAACACGAGATAATACACGATCTCTAAATGGGGCATTAGTTGGTGAGAGGAATGTGTTCCAGGTGAGTTTCCAAGCTTTTGTTCGTCTTTCATTATTGTTGTCTCCAATGGGTAGATGTAATAAATAACTGAAATGGGGATGACAATTTTGATTCCACCATAGCGCTGCATTATCACTGAGGTATTGTTGTTCTACCTACGTTTTATTTGTACCAAAGATTGAGGCCCTAAAACTGCGTCTCCATTTGTCACAATGAGTCTCCGACTTGCTCGGTGTCCCTTATGCTATGAGCTCTTTAGGCTTTGGAAAACCACATTCGTGCTACCCTGCACGGCGCTGGCATGGGTCTTCACCATTTACAACTCCATGCTCTTGATGCTTTTCCATAGTCAGTCCAGTTGGCCTTTCACCCCCCACATTGTGATCTCCATAGCTCACTTCAACTTTATTGAGGCCATTTTTTCTTGGGGGGCTTAATTTGCTGTTCACTTTGCTGTTTTTGTTCATCGCTACAACTTTTGAAATCATTTAACTACTATCAATTTTGAGAAAAGTGAACTGAAACAGTTCTAAAATATTTTCTAATCTTGACTGCAGTTTGATCAAGGACTTGGCATTGGTAGCAAGTTCCCATTCTTCAATCGCCACAAGCTAACGATGACCAAATTTTTCCCTCTAAGGCAAGTCGAAGAAGGCAAAGGTAATCCTGCACCACCTGTTTTAGTCCTTCACGGCCTGTATGGTGGTTGTGTAGGAGATCTCCCGAACCACGAAGCTTTTACACTTGGTGGACCACATTCAGTAAGAGGTTACAGCATGGGAGAGCTAGGGGCAGCTAGACAAAAACTTGAGGCACGTACACACAAATAACTTGAAACCACAATTTAATATTTTACTGCTCAAGTTTTTAGATGAGAAGGTTTAACAAAAATATACACTAAATTAGAATGATCATGTCTAGATGTTCATTAACTTGTATCTCACTTGTGATGTGCAGTTGGCAGCTGAGATTCGAATACCCGTGAAAAACGCGTACACTTATGCATTTGCAGAACATGGAAATGATCTCGGAAGTTCAGTATCTGTACAAGGAAACCCGACGAAGGCATACATGAGAAAAGGTCATGGTTCCTCGTATGGTGTTGGAGTGAAGTTCGGTCAAGTACGTGCTGAGTATGCTGTTGATCATAACTCCAGGCGGGGCTCGTTTTTCGTTCATGTTGGGGATAGATTCTGAGAGTTGTTCATAAATCAGATTATTTTTCTTGTTAATTATCCAAATTTTATTAATAAAGATAGGAAGATTTTGAAGAAAATATGCAACTTATAAGTCATTTGACTTTATAAGAATAGATGCAACTTCATAGACAACCCATTATTTTTTGATATCATGATTATAACACTTGATCAGAAATTGAATTCACAATTTAAACAATATTTCTTCTTAGAAGTTTGAGAACAGCCATGCACAAAACATGTTATTACATATGTTAGGAATTTACAGCAGCATATACAAATATCAACAGAGGCTAAACCAGTTCAATATATACATAATAACCGAACTCAGTAACCAACAGATACAACAATCTATGACAGGGTTCAATAATCACCAGCATACATTACATATACAGAAATCAGCATACACCAATGTTATCTAGCATGATGGAGAAATCGACAGAAAACATAAACCATAGAAACTGAAACATTGATCATAAACGAGACAGAAACCAACAGTAGAATGCTACTTCCCTTCTACCATTCCTCCTTGTTATACAAAATACAGACTGAAAGATTATAAATCGAATAGATTACAAACCCTATTACATTCAAATCGCCCTAATACATCAAACTATGGAAATAACCACTGAACATCAAAGAT